CATAAATATTTAGGTAGCTAGCTAAATATTTAAGTTGCAACATAAATATTTAGGTAGCTAGCTAAATATTTAAGTTGCAACATAAATACTTAGGTAGCTAAATATTTAAGTTAAACATTTAACTTGCAACCTAAACATTTAGGTAGCTAGCTAAATATTTAACCTAAATATTAAAGGTAGCTAGCTAAATATTTAAGTTGCAACCTAAATATTTAAGTCACAAGTTAAATATTTAGCTTGTTCACTAAATATTTAATTTGTAAGTTAAATATTTAGTTTATGAACTATGACATTTATAAATGCATGAATCATATGGTGAAAAACTGACTTTGAAAAATAAAGCTGTTATTTTTTTTTCTTATAAATGACTAAATAAAACAAAAATATTGGTGGTAATTTTTGATTGTGTAACGTTACAAATGTCACCCCATATTTGAGTGTGTGTGATCAGTTAGAGCCAGACTTTGAAACTCGCATCAATATTTGTGTGTAGTTTGTCAAACTGCATTTTTGTCTGCACACATTTGTTGTCCACACATGAGAAACAAAGATGTGTAACATATTTACCATGAGAGCGTTTGCCTGGGAGCTGCAGGGTGCCAGAAACACAGCCGTGGAGACGGGTGGGAGACACTCCAGACCACTCTGCACAGCTGAGCAGCTCTACGACTCGTTACAAAGAGTTTATCATGTAAGACATGTTGGAAACTCCCTGTCAGCCCAGTGAGATCCAGCTGACCCAGAACTACTCAGACCAAACCCACATCATGCCTCCCTGTAACATCCAAACTCACATTATACAAGTGGAAAAGCTCCCAATAASCATTAAAAACTGAATGTAATCAGATAAGAGTGGAAATGTGTCCAAATTTAAATTTACTGAAGATCCATAAGAAKAATTTATAACATAACCAACTTCTTTTCATGTAGCAGAAAACAGCTGGGAGGTGACATTATGTGAATGWTCCTTAAAGCTTCATCCTGATGTTTCATGTTGACATTCATGAAGGAAGGTGAAGAAAGTCCTGCTGGAGGAGGAGCAAACCTGCAGGAACATTAAACAGAACCTGGAACACGCTGTGGTTAGAAACAGCTTTATGTTAAAAACTAATAAATCACTTTTCCACACATTTCATTTGATCAAACAGCTGATTTATGAGCAACTCTGCTGTTCTGGGATCTTTTAAACCAGAGATTCTTAACCTGTGGGCCGTGAGCGCCACCTTGAGGGCCTCAAAAGAACAACAGTTTTTAACTTTGGGCCGCAGAGGGCCGTGGGACCACATTGATTTTAAATAAGATGYAATACACTTTCTCACCACTAGTAGCAGCAGTGCACCACTCAGATATTTAACAACTTTTTTAATATGTAGAAGAAGAATCTTAGAAACCTGCTGAGAATGGAAACTTAGTTTAAATTAAATGTAGAAACAAAAATGAAAGTAACTCATCAAAAAACACCAAAGTTTGTCACTAATATGAAGAGCAGCTTCTGTTTTTACCTTTTAAAAGTTCAAAACATTATCAAACAGTTGCAGATACAGCTATATTTTAATTTGTACTTTAATTTTTGTAATTTATTTTTAAACATTTTGAATGTATTTTAAAGAAACTTTAAACTTGTCAAAAAGCTGTTATTACTGTTATTGTT